TTCGTTTATTAGACATTAAATTACATCACTTAGCACCTTCCATATTTTACCAAAACGTTTCAGTTAAACTGATGAATATTTATGAGCGTCTCCTAAATTATTTTTTTCTAAATTAACATTGTTTATAAATAAGTGTTACAACCTTACATTAGCCTTGATAAAGTCCACCAGAGGACGAAACACGTCGGTTAAGACAAGTTTTTTCCTTTTTATATATATATATTTTTATATATATATATATATATATATATATATATATATATATATATATATATATATATGAAGGCTCTTGGGATCTTCAGACGAACGAACGTTCTAGAAGTTCACGAAAGCGTGAAACTCGAGTTAACGACTCAGGCTTACCTTTGCTATCTATTAACGTTGTTAAGCGTTTATTGCTCTGTCTAAATAATCCGGGCGCTGAGCAGATTACTTAGTAGGTAAGTGCTTGGCTTTCGGTTTTTCTTTTCTTCTTTCATTGTTTGGGATTTTTCTTGTTTATCGTGTTAGATCAGGGAAAGTTGTCTGTTGGTCACACCAACATAGTTGTTATCTCTTTAGTATATATATATATATATATATATATATATATATATATATATATATATATATATATATATATATATATATAGATATAGATATATTAAGAAATGGACAAAGTCCGACAATTTATTTATTAAAGACATTTTTATGTTTAACGTTCTTTTTTATAGATACAAGTATTTAAGTAAATGCTCTGTTTATAATAAACAGTATTAAATAACATTTACCGGCCTGAATGTCCGAGAAATTTTCAAAGGACGAATATTTTCTATGAAATATATATATATATTGTTAAACATATAAATAGTTAAATATATAAATTGGATGTAGAAAATTTATTTACTAATGTTCCGTCCATGAAACGATTGACATCATTATCCGTGATGTATATAATCACCCTGGGCACCTCGACGTGGTGTAATGGTTGGTAAGCTTGTCTTGCTAGATCAATTACGGCTAAGTAGTGAGTTCGATCCTCACTGGCTACCCCATACTTTCGGCCTTGTGCCACATCTAAGTCGGGATTAGAAAATCGCTATGTAATCACCCTTCTCTCCCTCCTATTAATATTAAACCCACTATTTAAAAAATATATATTATTATCATTGACCACGCATATACCTTTTCATTACCCTTGAAATTTACGGTATCACGATGGGATCTCCTTAAGGTCCACTTTTTTCTAATTATTATATGACATATTTACTTAACGACACTAAACCCCTATGTAAAAACCATAGATTTCATTTTAGCTAAAACTATTAATCAATTTACACAACTTAAAAACAAATTTGAAAGTCACTCCGTCCTCAAACTTACACTAGATTTCAATATTAATAATAAAATTCAATTCCTTGATGGACTTATTGATTCCAGTACACATAAATTTACTACTGCTCTCTATAGAAAACCCACTAGCATTAACTCGTGTCTTCTTAATTATAATAGTGAATGCCCTCAGTCATATATGTTAGCTGTAATAATCCAACGCACACAAATGATATCTTCTTTCAAACCATATTCTATAAAGAATTACATAACATCAAACACTGGTTAATAATGGATTCCCTAATTCCATCATTGATCAAAAAATGAAAATGTATCTCCATAAACTTAATAATACAACAAACAAAATTGAAATCACGATGAAACAAGATTCAAAAACATAATGGAAATGTTAAATCTTTTAATAATAAACAAGTTAAGCTCATGATATATTATAGAAAATTTAAAACAATTGTTTTCATAATTTACAATAGACCTACAACCACACAACTAAATTCCCTACAAAAAGCCAATGTAGTGTATCAATTCACATGCCGTTCAGAGATTATATCTTTGACATTAATGATAAACCTACTATATATATATATATTGGTTTTACTACGACCACGTTCTCTCGTAGAGTTACTGGTCATCTTTCTGATTTTAGTTCCATTAAACAACATTTCTTAGAAAAACATAGTCATGTACATATTATTAGACAGATATTAGTTGATAATAAAACAATACTCAATTAACAGGAGATAACTGATAACTGACATCCATTAAACATCGCACGTGAAACAGTCTACCCCAGTGAGCGAAATAAAGGGTTCAGTTCGACATTCCAACCACCTGAAGAAGGCCGGAGCGTACAACGGCCGAAACGTTGTAATAAATATAGCGACAAAGATGAGGACAATAGTCCGAATAATGTAAATAATGTAAAACAATACTCACACAGTAAAAAAAAAAAAAAAACTTAAGATATCTATCTACATTAAACAAGGCAATCCACACTCAACAAAATTACATTACAAACCAGTCACAACCTATTAGAATGCATTTAAACACATGGTTCTGTTAATAATATTTCTTTCTCTCGCGTAGTCATGTACGACATCATAGAACCGTATTACGAATTTATGACCTGCGTCTACGATTCAGCAACCTTTACCGTCGCATTGTAAACTTCTATGTAGACATAACACGACGTCATCTTTGATGGTGAACGTCTTTGTTTTAGTATCCAGATAACCAATCTGATGGTGGCTCATGTGAGCCGAAAGCTTAAATCGATGAACAGCATAATAAAAAATATCCAAATGTTGGACAGTTTTTGTCTTTATTTTCTCCCGAAACTAATGCCACCATACAAAGCTAGAACGGTTCATGATCAAACATAATAGACGCTCGTTGTCTGTTATATTTAACAATATATGTTTGAATAATTATCTGGTGTCCAACACACTACACACACACACACACACACACAATATATATATATATATATATATATATATATATATATATATATAATTGTATATGTATATATATTTCAATATAATTATTTTCTTAAATATAATTACATCGCGACACAGAAATTACTGTTTCAAAACTAACTGAACTCCTAAGTTTTAATTGCAATATTAAACTTAAAATTTAGAGTACAGTTTCATTCTCAAGCGATATTTAGAATAACTAACTTGGGAAGTGTTTTAGGTTAGAAATGGAGGTGCAACAAGTTTTTTTTTCTTCCGTTATCAAGGGGTCACTACTCTGATAAAAGTATGAATGTTTATTATATATCAAATTTATGGAGTCGGTTATGGTTGAGCTTGGGGATTTTTTTTCTGGCTACATTGGTCTTTTCTTCTCCAGGTTGTTTGTTTTTATTAGTATTTGTTGAAACTTACTGATTGATGGTTACAGTATAAAATATTAAAACACGCTTTGTAAATATACAAAGAATTAACCGAAAGTGCTCGGTACAATGGAAAAGAAAGATAATTCAACAATTTCACTAAGGTTTCAAAAATTAAAAAATTGTAAGGTCCCGAGAAAAATTGAATGAAAAAAAAAGCTTACAAAATATTTCACGTCCGTCTTCTTCCGCGAAACAGACATGAAATAAGATTGTTCAAATACAAAACATATATTTTACTTGCATTTTTTATATTAGAATTTTATTCTGAAGAGAAAAAAAATCTGATTATTTATTGACGTCTTTTAAACAATATAAAGACATTGCCTAGATAGTTGCCGCAACAACTTCTTTGAAATAATAGCGTCTTGGGGAATCGAACTGCCTAACTAGTATCATTGTACCGCCATTTAAAATATGACCTAATCATGGAATTATGACTGCCAGCTATTCTAACGGAAACAAACCCCCACCTTTCACCAATCAACCAAATTAATCTTGCACATTTTCAGCTATTAAATTTTATTGTGAGCATAATTGTAACATCCATATCAATAGCTTCAACAAACAAAATTCTCACTGTAACTTGACTAAGTCCAACATCCGAGGAACTGTATTTTACTAGTAGCATAATATATTTATTATTATTATTATTATTATTATTATTATTATTATTATTATTATCTCAAAAATTGACATTAGAGTAATCATCTTGAACGGTGCAAAGTAATTTCACATTTCTTATAATGATTGCCCGTGACAGTATGTTTGATTATAGCAAGCGTTTTTTTAAAAGTCACTGAGACTAGTGACTAAAATTGGGTTCAAATAATACTCTTTTTAGAAATTCATAAAACAGTTCGAGTATTTTCACAATTGTCGGCCAATTGCAAAATTACACAATAAGCAATACAATTTCAGCAATTTTGACATCGTTAAAGAAAACATTTAATTTTACTTTTAAAGGGAAAATATAATTGCGTTAAAATTGTTTCTCTTGCAAGAAGAGAAGGAGAAAACGCGATAGAAGAAAAAAGATGAAGATAAAAAAATATCAAAGAAAAGAAAGGAAAAAATAAAGAAACAAAACGTTGGTTTAGTTTGTTTTATTTTACGGCATATCAACGTCAATGGATTATTTAATGCTGACAAGATTTTTATTGCTGGTAATATTTTTCCCAAAAGTATTTCTAGTAATATTTTTCCAAAAATTGCTGGTAATAATGTTTTATAAAAATGTATTTCTGGTATTAAAACATATTTATACACTTTCATAGTGTTTTGACCCTAGTTTGGAGGTCAACTATTGGCCATAACAGGTGCTACCACCCAGGGTCAGGGTGGACCTGGAAAACATCAGCAATTAAGAGGTGGTTCCACGCTCCTCAAAATCTCCTGATCAGAGGCCTTGCTGTCGGACGTTATTTATCGTCTTACCCAGGACGACAAAACGATGTTTGGATATTAAAAAAATGTCAGAAAAAGAATATAAACAGTTAAAAAAAGATATTTTTTTAAGGCTTATCAACCCTTTGCAAGTTATTTATAGCCAGAAAATATATTTGTGTTGTAAGATATTTTGGAGATAATAATTGTTCTACTGATACAAGTCCTACTAATTAACCCATAGCTGGGGGTGGGAAAAGAGTTGGGCTCATCCTTTTTCCCAAGGGGATTTGCATGTAAATGAATAGAACGAGCCCACCTGGAATTGGAACTCTGTAATTTTCAAGTCTGAGCCGTTATCCATTACACCACCCGCACATCCAAGCTTACAGCACTCTGTATTCCCAAGCGGTCGCCCTCTAGGTATTAACCAGGCGCGGCATTGCTTAACTTCGGTGATCGTACAAAAACCGGTAATTCAACGTGATATGACCGTAAGTCGAAAAAAAATGGGCGGGGAAATAGAAAAAGATATCAAATATATATATATATATA